AGGGCGACTAGGCTATAAGGCTATAGGGCTACAGGGCTAGAGGGCTGTAGGGCTATATGGCTACAGGGCTCTTGGGCTATGGGGCTATAGAGCTAAAAAGCTACAAGGCTATAGAGCTACAGGGCTATAGGGCTCTAGGGATATAGGCTAGGGATATAAGGCACCCAGGCACCGGGGCACCTGGGCACCTGGGCACCTGGGCACCTGGGCACCCGGGCACCCGGGCGGGCCGCGGAAATCGGTGACAAACCTCACCTTACCATATGAATCCGCTAGGGCCCCTACAGAGGCAAGCTCTGAATGCGGGAATAGAGTCGTACATACATACATACGTACATACATACATGCATGCACACATGCATATGACACCCGATAAAAAACCCTATCAAAGCCTTTTTAGGGCTATAAGGCTATATGGCAATGAGGCTATGGGGCTATAGGGCTATATAACTATAGGGCTATAGGGCCATAGGGCTATAGGTCTATAGGGCCATAGGGCTATAGGGCTTTAGGGCCATAGGGCTATAGGGCTCTAGGGCTATAGCGCTATGGGGCTATGGGGCTCTGGGGCTATGGGGCTATAGCGCTATCGTGCCATAGGTCTATGAAAATATATAGGGCTATGGGGCTATAGGGCTATAGGACCATAGGGCTATAGGGCATTAGGGATATAGGGCAATGGGGCTAGGGGCCTATAGGGCTGCAGGTATATAGAGGTATAGGGTTATAGGGCTATAAGGCTGTAGGGCTATAGGGCTATAGGGCTATAAAGGCTATAGGGCTATAGGGCTATAGGGATATAGGGCTATAGGGCTATAGGACTATTGGGCTATTGGGCTATATGGCTATAGGGCTATAGGACTATAGGGCTACAGGGCTATAGGGCTATAGGGCCTATAGGGCTATGGGGCTATTGGGCTCTGGGGCTATGGAGCTAGAAGGCTATAGTGCTATAGGGCTATAGTGCTGTAAGGCCACAGGGCTATAGGGCTATAGGGCTATAAAGCACCCGTGCACCTGGGCACCTGGGCACCCGGGCGGGCCGCAAACTCGGCGGCAAACCTCACATAACCATATGAACCCGCTAGGGCGCCTATAGAGGCAAGCTCTGATTGGGGGACATGCATCCATGTATACATGCATGCACGCATATATGCATACATACCACTACAAACATACATACTTACATACATACAGACTGACAGACAGGCAAACCTACATACATAAATACAAACATACCTTACAGTACATTACAGTACAGCACAGTACAGTACAGTACCTCTATACACACATACATTACACCGCATTACATTACACTACCTGATATTACACTACATACATACTTACATACATACATATGTAGATACGCGAATGCTGACATGCAGGCTTGCAGACATTCATACGTGCATACATGCATACATACATACATACCTGCATACATGCATACATACGTACATACATACATACACCACACTACACACAGACATACCTACATACATGCATACATGCATACATACATACATGCATGCATGCATGCATGCATGCATGCATGCATACGTACATGCACACATGCCGACATGCAGACATGTAGACGTGCACACCTGCATACATGCAGGCATGCAGACAGGCAGCCATACAAACATGCATACATATATGCATGCGTACATACATACATCCATACCACTACATACATACATCCATACCATTGCATACATACATGCATGCAAACATACGTACATGCATGCATGCATACATTACACTGCATACATACATGCATGCATGTATCCATATATACACACGTACATCCAGACATACCTAAATTAGTCTACATACATACATGCACAAGTCAATACATCCATACAGACATACATACATCACACACCATACATAAATACCTACATACGTACATGCAGACAGGCAGACATGCATACATGCATACATGCATACATACATACGTACGTACATGCATACATACATACAGTACACTACAGTACACTACATACATAAAAATATACATACATACATACATACATACACGCATGCACAAATACATACACGCATCCAGACATTACACTATACTACATACATACATGCATACGTACATGCAGACATGCAGACATCCCGGCATGAAGACGTGCTGACATACAGACATGCATGCATGCATGCATACATACCATTACATACAGACATTCATATCACTACATACATACATACATACATACATACATACATACATACATACATACATACGTACATGCAGGCACGCAGACATACATACATACATTACACTACCTATATACATACATACATACACATATACAGACAGACATACATACCTACGTCCATGCAGACATACATACGTTACACTACATACATAAGCACATACAGTGCACTACATACATACATACACACATACATACATACATACATACATACACGCACGCACGCATGCATACATACATTCATACACGCATGCATGCATACATACATACAGTCATACATACACACGTACATGTAGACACGCAGACATACATACATACATGCAGACATGCAGACATGCAGAAATGTAGACATGTACACATGCAGACATGCATGCAGTTATGCAGACATGCATACATACATGAAACTACATACATGCATACATACGCACATGCAAACACACATGCACTACATTACATACACACATACGAGAGAGCGTGATCCACCGCCGCTTTACTGTGGAAAATTGCCAACCTTTTCCTCCGGAGCCCGGGGGTCTCCCCCCCCCCCCCCCCGAAAATCCCCCCCCCCTGCCGAACCCCCCCACCCCCCCCCCCCCCCCCCTCCCGGCAAAACCCCCCCTCCCTAACCCCTCCCCCCCCCCCCCCCCTCCCCCTCGAAAACCGGGGGGGGGTCACTACCGGTTCGAACCCCTCACCCCCCCCCCCCCCTCCGGATCCGGAAAACCGGGGGGGGTCACTACCGGTTGGAACCCCCCCCCCCCCCCCCTACTCACCGCCAGCAAACGACTCCCGGCCCCCACCGCCGTCCGCATCACATCCCCCACTGTTGTTCCCAGCACCACTGTCCTCACCACCACTGTCCCCACTGGTTCCACCACCGTCCCTATTGTCCCCACCAGTGCCCCCACCACTGTCGCACTGTCCCCACTGTTCCCACAACTGTTCCCACCACGGTTCCACTCTCCCCACTGTCTCCACGGACCCAACCACTGCCTATCCCCACTGTCCCCACTGTCCCACTGACTCCTCCGCTGTCCCACTGAGCTGTCCCACTGTTCCCACCACTGTCCCCACTGTCCCCACCACTGTCCCCACTGTACCTCTGTCCCATTGTCCCACCGCCGTCCTCGCCACCGCCTTTACCAGTGTCTCCACCACCATTGTACCCTCCACTGTCCCAGTGTTTCCACCTCATTCCCATTGTCCCCACACCACTGTCCCCACCACCACCGTCCCACCACTGTCCACTGTCCCCCCTGTTCCCACCATTGTCCCCACCACTGTCCCCACCACTACCGTCCCCACCACTGTCCCACTGTCCCACTGTCCCCACCACTGTCCCGCTGTCCCCTCACCACTGTCCCCACCAACACCGTCCCCACCACTGTCCGCACCCCCACTCGGTTTTCGAGGGGGGGGGGGGGGGGGTTCGAACCGTAGTGACCCCCCCCCTTTTTCATGATGAGCTGGGGGGGGGGGGGGAGGGGTTCGAACCGGTAGTGACCCCCCCCGGTTTTCCGGAGGGGGGGGGGGGGGGGAGGGGTTCGAACCGGTAGTGACCCCCCCCGGTTTTCCGCCCGCAGCGGTAGAACACGCTCTTTCACACATACATACATGCATACATTAAACTACATACATACATAGATACATACATACATGCATTACACTACATACATACAAACATACATACATACGTACATAGGAATACATACATTACACAATAAATATCCATACATTACACTACGTACATACATAATCACATTACACATGCATACATACGTACATGCAGACATGCAGACATGCGGACATGTAGACATGCAGCAATGCAGACATGCATACATGCTTACACGCATACATGCACATTGCACTCATTCCATACACACACATACGGTATTCATGCATGCATTCACACATACATTTATACATGAGAACATACATACGTACATGCATACATACGTACACGCAGACATAGACATCACACTACATACATACGCACATACATACATCACGCTACACTCATACAGGCATACATGCATACACAGGTACATGCAGACATGCAGACATGCAGACATGTAGACATGCAGACATGCATACATGCATACACACATACATGTATACATGAATTCATGCATACAGACAGACACACATGCGTACATGCATACATACATACATTACACTACATACATGCATGCATACATACATACATACATTACACCACATGCAAGTATACAAACATATAGGCATACATACACACATACATACATACGTATATGCAGACATACAGACATGCAGACATGCAGACATGTAGGCATGCAGACATGCATAATTACATACCACTACATACATATATACAATCATACACGCATGCATACATACATACATGCATGCATGCATACATAAATACATACATACATATATATATATACATACATACATACATACATACATACATGCATGCATGCATGCATGCATGCATGCATGCATGCATGCATACACATACATACGTATATATATATATATATATGCATGCATGCATACCTCCATGCATACGTACATGCAAGGCATGCAGACATGCAAACATTGAGACATGCAGGCATGCAGATATACACACGTACATACATACATACGTACATACGTACATGCAGACATGCAGGCATGCAGGCATGCAGACATGCAGACATGCATACATGCATGCATGCATACATGCATACAGACGTCATGTCGTCGGAGGTCTGGGTGTCAGGGTGGTCTGTCACGCGGCGGGCGTCGCCCAGGCGCCTGCGGCGGCGGCGAGAGCCGTCCCCGCGCGAGCCGGCCGAGGCAGCGGCGGCACAATGCTGGCGCCACCAGGCGCCGCGACCACGCTCACCTCACGAGCCTCGAGCTCATCCCCCTGGCAGCCAGCCCCTCGGAACGAAGATCCCGCCCGCCAGCCAGCCAACTGGAGCTCACCTGGACAGGTCCTGGGACTCGGGTCTGGGCTCCCAGGGCCCGGACCTCCGGAGGCCCGCAGGGGACAGGCGGCGGCGAGCGAGAGGGGGAGGCGAGGAGGAGAAGGCCTCCTCAGAAGGCGGCGGGGCTTCTCCGAAGCGCTCTGGCCTTCTGGGAGGCTCTCTGTGCCTTCGGGGAAACGCTCTGAAAACTTCTCGGAAGGCCAGGGGACCTCCGAGCCTTCTGAGAAGGCCCGCCCCTTCTCGCTTCCCCCCTGGGCTCGCCGCCGAGGTAGGGACCCAGACCCCCGATATCATGATTTTGCTCACAGCGTGGACCCCCAGATGGCCTCGCGACCCATTCCCTGGGACCGGTTTTCCACCCTGACTGGTCCCTTCACGGTCCCGAGGCCCGGCGAAGGCCCCCAGTCCAAAAAAGGCCAGACACCTTTCGCCGTGATCCCGCAAGTCCGACGTCGCGACGAAAAAACTGAAGCATCGTCAAATAAACACATCCGTCTGCGGCACTATCCGAGCAGGATCGATCGGTGATAGCCTTGGGGCTCGCGAGCGAGCAGAAAAGCCCGGGGGGAAATAGACAAAATAATGCGACGCCAGGATCCCAATGCTTTTTGACGTCACGAGGGGGCCTGGGGATGCTTAACATGGGGGAACCGGGTCCTGAGGGAAACGGGTCCTGGACGCGGGGGCCTTCTCGCAGGACCAGTTCTTCATCCTAAATCGTTTTCTGGCAATCCCGCCCGTAGAGGGCCCCGAGAGCCCGAAAACGGCAAAAAACCTCGGCTACACGCAGGAGTGACCCAGTGGCCTTTGGCGCGCGGCTTTTTGAGGGCCGCCGGGGGGCCGAACACCAGCGCGCAAGGCGCTACTATCGCGCCGCGTTCGACGATCGGCGATCGGGGGACTCCAGTGGGCCCGCACCAAAGGTCACTGCGGCGAAGGGTCACTTTTCCGTGTAAACGATCAGGACCCGCTTACCCTTAGGTCGGGCATGTCCTCCTACAAGCGGATTTCGGAAGAAAAATGTAAAGTAGTAAAAAAACAACAACAACAAAAAATCAAACTATTTGTTTATTATTCTTGAATATTCCTCCTGTAGAAGGACATGCCCGACTTAACGCTTACCCCATGGCGAGGGGATGCGCTCCCGGCTCGTGCGACCACCTGCGGCATCGCTGGCCGGACGACGAAGCCGCCGTCGGCCGCGCCCCGGCCCTGGACGAGGCTGGCCGGGGGGGGCGCGGGCGGTGGCGTCGGCACCGGGCTGCCGCCAGCCTGCGCGCGCGGGGCTGGCGGGCGCCGAGGCACAGGCAGACACGAGGAGGAAGAGGGGGAGGAGAAGGAGGAGGAAGAGCAGGAGGAGGAGGAGGAGGAGGACGAGGAGGGGGAGGAGGAGGAGGAGGAGGAGGAGGAGGAGGAGGAGGAGGAGGAGGAAGAGGAGGAAGAGCAGGAGGAGGAGAAGGAGGACCAGACGTTTTTCAGGTCAACGGGCGCAGAGGTGCGAACGCGGTCAGGCGCCGGTCGTGCTACAGTAGAGGAGCAAAATACGGCATGAGCATGAACTGCTAACGGTCCGCGCGGAGTTCTTGGATCTACGCTGGACCCCCTCTCTGGCGCGCGGAGCGCGCCAGGGGCGGCGCCGGAGGCGCCGCCAGGGGGGGTCCTAGCGCAGATCAAAAAAATCCGCGTGGACCACCAAAAATTGATGTTTATGCCGTCTGTTGTTCTTCGTTATTCGATACAGTCGGTACACGCCGATCACAAAGTGAGGCACAGCAAGGAGAGAGGAAGAGAGGAGAAACGGCGGCAGGGCGGGAGCCGCTCAGAGCATGCAGTCCGTCGCGGGTTTGTTCGATACTCGGCCACGCGCAGAGGGGGGTAGGGGGAGGGGGGGAGGCTTCTTAGTAGAAGGAGGTTGTTCCTTAGAAGGCGCGGGCCGTGTCTATAGATGTCAGGCCAGCGCCTTCCAAGAAGCGACCTCCTTCCAAGAAGCCCTCCCCCCTGACGTTACTTCCTTCTGCCCGCAGCCAAAATACAGGGTCGCTGGAAGACCCGCCCCTTTGCCCAGGGCCGGCTCCGGCATTTCATCGAGAGTCGTTTAAATCAAGACGGGAAGTTGTTGGCCCTTTTCGGCCTCTGGGGGCCCTCGTCGGGCCC